TATGAGATGATTATAGCCAACTTGGCCCTACGCGCCTCGTTGGCTATCTATCATCTCATATCCAACGCGCGCTCGTGGAATAATTTTTAATTATTAAAGCGAAACTGATCTTTTTGCCAATAGTAAATCCTTTATTGACCAAGCTTGTTCGGTCAAGATGGCTGGATATTAGACTCGTTCTCTTTTATTTCTTCATTTGTTTTTCGAGTTTTTATGGACCTCGATAAGTTTTAATTTGTTTGTTTTAAAATTTATCTTAAATAATCATGTGATTCTTTGTAGTTTCTGTAGAACTGAATAACAATTCCGTCCTTTTCTATGTAGCATCTATCTCTGGGAATTTATATTTTTTTATACCCTTTCTGCTGGAAGTAACAATGAAATTTTGGACGCTAAAAAAATTCATGGAGCACTGTTTAAGTTTTTATCCCAGGAAAGATGTTTAAATTATCTTGGGCATTTTGAGTCATCCTCGTGGTCTCCCATTTCGTGACGAGTATTTGAGTTCAGCCGGAGGCAGCTATGTCTAATTTTTTTTCCTTGAAAAGGTTAAAAGGCTATGGAGGCGGAATTTATTTGCAAACCCAATAAAAAGATCTCCAAGTACAGACCCTTCATGTTGCTTGGATCTTTTTTCAACAACAAAAGCACATTGTAAAGACAATAAGTTTTAGTTCGTCATTCCGTTATGTTGCCATTAGCGACGTGTATGATGGCAATAAACAACAGTTACCAAACTCCTCCTCACAAAGTGCGTTAGTATGAGCACGTGACATGTGTCATCCAATGACGTGAGCGAGCTAAATTTACGTGCGAGCTCATCTACTTTGCAAAATTTCTCTGACGACCCTAAGCTGAGTTCAACGTCACATCTTTTCATGGTTTATAGCGTCGAACTCTCTGAACACAGTTTTTGAACAGCAGAGTCTTTCACGAGGATGGGTTGTTGTGGAAAAAATAGCGACGATGAAAGGACTGACAATGTGGAGATGAAAGGAGGGGATAAGGGTGGCGGAAAAGCTGGCAAGTGGGGTACGTAAGTGAATTACAAAGTTTAGCTCTGTAAACAAACGCGATATAAGTTCAACTTTGTGGTTTCATACGAGGATATTACATTCTATGTTCAGGCTCACAATATTTGGTTTTAAGGGTTACAATTGCAGTTGCGATGTGTACTGAGGTAAAAGGATGACAGCCTCAAAACATGTATCGCGCCTTGCAATTGAATTAGTTAAACACGATGGTTCGCATTCATACTTTGGTCCGTGTCAGTGAAATGTCCTAAGGCGAGGTTTTACTTTACTACCATTTACAAATTTTGTTACTAAATCCTTCCTGATGTAATTGATTGGCTAGAAGTCTAATTTGCTCCTCTTGCGAGCGTGATCTTCATGTCCCACAACGATGAAATTTGATCCCCTTACTTGAACTTCCTTGTTCGGACAGGATCCACGGATAAGCCTCTTGGAAACACCCATACAGCTCAAGAGTTCATTCTGATTAGTATAGAATCGATTTTTTTCGTTAAAGATTGCTCTGCTTCACTAGCATGCTGATGTTATATGCATGCAAAAATTTGAGTGACTCGTTGCTTCAATCCTGTTTGCACGGCATTTCACATAGCCTCCTTCCTTTGGTGGGTATAATTACAATTAAGCTGTACAAGGCAGTCACAGACTTGACGTGTAAGAGGAAATTTGTCGCCTGAAATTCTGTTGTTCCATTTTTGCTAAATTTGGTTTATATTTTACATTAGTGAACACAGTTTAGAAAAAAAAACATGTCTCAGACTTTGACCCAAGGAAATACAACATACGTAAAATGCCAAGGGAAAAGGAAATGGTGACGCGATCAAACTGCACAAGCACACCATTAAAGTCTGATAATAAATTGCTAAATAGCTTGATGCTGAGGGTACATTGTTCACAAATAAGCAATTCAGCCAAAAAATTATTTTGTGAGACCCATCAATCTGTCATTGCCCAACAATTATTTACCTAAGTGGAGGTGAGAAGTGGTTATTCACCCCCATTTCATTGAATCACTGTTAATTACTCATACAAGCTTCTCAATTAGGGAATTTCCAACCAGCTTATGTTCATTCTACTAACATGCATGTTCTTGTTATTTTTTCTCTAATTATAGGAAAACCTAAACCATTTGATCCAACATTTAATGGGCCAATAAAAAACAGGTAAAAGTGTACTGATTCCTAGCAGTCTCCCTAATGATTGGTGTTGCACAATGCTCAGAAAATAATTATCTTGATCACTTCCATTTGAATAGCTGTAAATTAAAGTTAATGTTGTAGAGCAGTGGTTGTTAGTATCAAATCAGAAATAGTTGTTGGAGTCTGTGGTAATGTTTTAACAGTGTAACTCCATGAAACTACTGATGTATAAAACCTAAATGGTGTTAATTGATGTGACCTCTTAAAAAAAAGAAGAGATTAACAGAGATAGTTCCTGCAATATCTAAGGTTTCTATACCACATAAAGATACATTATTTATCATTTAACAAGTGGAAACCACAGGGTAATTGTTATAATGTGTATTTTTGATTAAACACCACCATGAATGTATTCAGTATATGACTTTTACACATCATTCAAAATAAGTGTTCAGGTTTCTTTTTAACATTATGCTGGGTGACGATTATATCTGGGAATTACTTCAATTTAATGGTGGGAACACTTAAGAAAGTGAAATTATTAAGGAATGTGGCTGTGCTCCAAAGAAAATAGCCAATCAGGGGAAAGATAATCAATCCACAAACAACAACAGTAAATTAATTTGTGGTTTGGAGGTGTATTTGGAAGTCCCGAACTATATTGCGATTGGTTGGTGCCCAATCGACTTGTCAGGAGAAAATCATAGTGTTTGTGGTTCTCTGAGTTTACAATTAATGTAGCTGTTAAGAAAGACATGATGATTATTGTGTTCAGGCTGATATGGAAATGCATGCTCTTTTATTGGTTTACTCTAGCATTATATATCACCAAATTATCCTAGTATGTAAAGGGAAGATTGAGAAGAAAGAAATCAGGTGAATCGAAGGAATTTGTTTAGCTGTTTTCTCTGAGAAACACAAATTAAAGTGAAATGTAGGTAATGGTTCAATGGGCCATTCTGCCTGATTTGATATCAATGGCCCACAAATTTTTTTATTTTTTTTGGCTTTGTTTTTTAGGAGCTGCACTGACTGTGTATGCTGCATTCTCTTTGTCCTCTACATTGTGGGCATGATAGCCTTGGGCATTGTAGGTTAGTGCTTATTAATTTAGTGCAATTCAACAACCAACCAAATGTGTAGTGGTCATTGAAATAAATAGTAACCATTCCACACTAGAGAAAACAATTACTTATATAGTTAGCTCATACATACTAATATTATTAGGCAGGTGCGTCCACTTTTAGACGTGTCTGTTCATCTATTCAGAGTAGTCTGTGTCCTGTCACAGACTAGTCTTGTACTAGTTTTTTTGTTCATATTTTGGTCCCTTATCTTTGAGCTGCACTACCAATATGATATTTTCCTAATGTGACTCTGATGCTGACTTCCACTCAGGTTGTGGAAAGTCAGTCTCCACTACTAATAACAGCCCCCCTCAGGACTACACTCACCCAAATGATCAGACTACACTTATAATCTGAAATAGATGTTGACTGTGTGTACTTTCACAATATACTTAAGAGAATGGGTAGTATTAGGTTTATTTTACCCATAAGCAAGCATTTCCTTCATTACAAAAGGCTATTGGTGCAGATGGAATGCTTTCTTTGGAAAATTAGTCTTATTTGCATGACAAGAAAAAAGGATTTTTACATTAAAGGTTTCACACTTAATTACCCTCATTTGAAAGCCAGGGCTTAATTAATAACCATCTTGGAAATGACCAATGCAAATTCAGGTGAGGGAATTGTTGAGATCTCAAGTCAGATTAAAAGGGGTTTTATATCAGTATATATTTCTGGGTTCTAACCATGTGTTCTGAACATTTTGATTGCAGCATTTATAAAAGGCAATCCATACAAGCTGCTGGGTTCTGTTGATTCTGATGGTAAGTAGGTATACATGCAATTAATTCTGCAATTAGAGGTAAAATGTTTTGTCTTTGTTTTCTTAAAGATTTTTATTTTCTTTTGTTTCAGATACATTACTGTTATAACCATAACTGTCGAACATAGAAAAAAAATTATGAAAAACTTAAATGCAAAGTATAATTGGATTAGGTTTCTTTAAACCTGAAATCATTGTAAACTGCAAATAGTCAAATTTACCTAGTTGTAAACTAATAAAATTGTGAGGAAAAAATAGATTTATACTATATGGACAGATCAAAGCTTCACAACTTATACTTAACAAAAAAGCATAGTAAATTTCAATCAATAATCATTATGACTTGTTTTATTCTTTCAGGAAATATCTGTGGCTACGATGAGATTGTCAAGTAAGTTAATAATCTGAATATGTACGAAATGTATTAAACAACAGGATAATGATTGTTTTACTTTAGGCTGGTGGATTTCACAGCTAACCTTTTTCGATACTAGAACTGGATATTTTGTGTTCCTTTTAGATTAAATTTATTTGTTCCTGGAATCTAAATTGCATATTTTCCTGCAAATTTAATCTATCAAATCTATCAAAATATTTTGCAAAACTTAATATCACAAGGTTATTGAATGTGTATTATCTGTAAAAAACAACTCTATTCGGAAAGATACAAAGGAAAGTTTAAAATTTGATATTTAAGTGGTTGTGGTGAGAACCCAGTGTTTCCACTTATTTTAAGAATGGAGGCTCAAGGTGCCACCGACTATCAACTTACTTTTGAGCAGTACTGTATGCATAAATAATTACAAATGAGATATGTGTGACATTATCGTGATATTACTTTTAACATTTACATTTATTTGCATTTAAGGGATCGGCCTAAACTTGTTTTCTTTGACTTAACGGAATGCCTCCCAGCAGTCACTCAAGTTGCAACAAATATCTTTGGGGCATCTTGTCCCACAAAACAGGTGATCATGATGAATACCATCAAATCCAATTCATATGAGCCCTCTTATTGCAGCTTAATTTTTGGGACTCATCGCAATTTTGTGTCATACTTTGAGACAAGGTTAAAGGGTACTATTTTTTTCAATATTAAGTACGTCCCCCACCACCTCGCTGACTTGTTGTATTAACACTCACAACAGGTAATTTAATTTAGGCCTTGTCAATTGTGTCAGTCCATATTTGTCCTTTTAATGTTTCTAAATTGCAATCCATCAGTTGTTAGTGCAATCAAATTAAAATGTAGGATCCTTTGTGTAAACTGAGCCTGACTGTTATTGACTGATAACCTTTAATTCTGCCAAGTGTGACGAGCATCTTATTTTTCCTTACAATATCACCCCTGAATTGAATAAAGGAAATGATCAACAGCCAAAGAAGCTCTTGGTTGTTAAGAAAATTCTTTTTGTCAGCATTCTAAGAAATATATAGAGGACACTATGGGTAATTTGTGTACTGTTATAAGATTGTAAAGAAAGGGTTAAATTTTCTCAGGAATCATGGAATGTTGTCAGATTAGAGAACATTAGAAAAGGAATAGTGAATGACATTGACAAACCTCTGTGCACATAGTACTGATGATAATGATGTCATCTCAAGGAAATTTAACGTGCATGTCTTACAAATTTAGGCTAAAGAACTCATTACAGTTGAACCTCAATTATCCGGATTTCTCGATTATCCAGACTTTTTCTCTGGTCCCAATTTTGTCTTGAATATTTATCAGTCATATACCACAGCCGTATACTTTTCCAAACTACAGCGTGAGTTTGTTTCATTTTCAAAAAGCTTAAAGCAGCGTTCACACATGTGGTAAGTAATATGAAAAACATTCAAATGAGGTCTGATTGGCTTAGAGTTGCTTTGTTACTAAGTGAGATTTCAGGTTCTATTGGCTCATTTGGTGTAGTAAACAAGATAAACAAGCTACACATGCAGTGTTCTAAATGTTTATTCACAATCATCATATCCTTGAGATGTAAGCAATCTGTTCTTGTGGTAAAAGATGAACAGTCTATAATTTCGGAATTAGAGAAAGGAGAAATAGGAACCAATATGTCAGCTGAATATGCCGTTAGTAAGCAGCAGATAACTGATATCCACAACAACAAGGAAAAGATCATGAAGTTTGCCGACAACTTAGAGACCAGCGAAGGACTGCAGCTTAAATCATTGTAGAGTTTCACCTAATGAACAGCTTGATAAAGCCTTCTATGCCTCATTGATATTCATATTCTTGATTATTTGGATCCTTACATGGTTATCCAGACTATATCGTCTAGTCCCAATGTGTCCAGATAATCAAGGTTCATCTGTAGTCATTTCACACAATAGTCATATATTAATTTGTAATTTTTGAATTTGATAAGTTTAGGAAATTGTATGAAGGCAAGTGTATTTTGTTATTTTGGAAATCTTTCAAATCATGTCAAGCTTAAGTCATTAGATTGTGAAGTGCATATGATTTTTTTTTAAATTTTTATCATGTTCTTGATAAAATCACAAACCAATTAGCTACATGTACTCTGTGCATCCTTGTTTTAGAAGCTTTTTGAATTTCAGGGGAAGGTGATCGATATAGAAATTCCATAGTGTCTTCTATAACCTATAATTATGCACATGGATCAATCAAGAACAAGAAAATTTGTTACAGTAGTTTAGATTAAAACAAATGAAACAAGTTATTGCCTCAGGTTGTGAATCAAATTTAGGGATTGTGTTACATGTACATGTACCTTTTTTTTTTGCAATAATCAAGTCAACTAAGTTGAAATAAATGATCATGAGTGTAAGAAAATTAGTATTGATTATATTGCTTTATGTTTTTAGAATGTAATTTTTTGCAATTTACCTTGTTTTAGCGCTGTGTGAAGAGTTGCCCTGACAAAAATGCAGTTGCACTCACTGTGAATGTATCAGACCTTGTTTGTGACTATGATGTTGATTTCACCAATTTTAAACCAAGTACACAGGTAATTTATGTTAGCCTTCAGTGGTTAACTCATCCTATTAAAATATAGTAAGTAAATTTATTACTGGATCTAACATTTAAATCAGTAAAAGAGGCATGGGCATTAAGCTCAGAAAATAATCTTGATGTGATGTGATGTCTTTGTTTGCACTTTCTACACTTCAGTATCTATATTGCTTTTCCTTTAGCAGAGTGTTTTGCATTTCCCAATGTAAATTCTTTTCTGTATTTAGCCAAGCCCCTAGGGGCTTCCCAAATCATAATTTATCTCGGTGTCATTCATAACTTAACAGGAGCGCTCTGACCTAGTCAAAGAAAAGAGGTGTGCTCCATATATTCTCAAAAGTTCTGATGGTGAGTATATGAAACATTATGTCTGTAATGATTGTGGCATATGGAGATATAAAGCTTTACATTGATAAAACCAAATTATCTCATCATACCCTCCCCTCTGACAAAGCACCCCTAGTTTCTTCAGAAACTCGCCCCCATTTATATTCAATAAAATTTTACACTTGGAAAAAAAGAACACAAACACATCCACCCAAAGATAGTATGTGTAGCATTTCTTGAACTTCACAATTTCCTCCCTCTTAATTGTTTTGATTATTAAGTCAATTAACAAATAATTGTTTTTTTTTTTTCAACATGATTGAAAATTGCTTTTAGTTAAATATAACTATTCATTTGCTTTGTTCAACAGTCCTAAACCGTTGCATACCCACACTGGTAGGAGATACACTGACATCCAGTTTGAGAGATCAGCTACAATCAGCAGATGGATCAAATGTCACTGCTGAAGATGTGAAAGAAGGATCTTTGTAAGTAAACACTGACAAATGTGAAGTTAATGGGATACATTGGGAAGTATCCAGTGAGCACAGATTTATGAGTATTACCTACAATCCTCAATGATCAACATTAATTTGCTATTACTATCCAGTGTCAGACTTTTTTTAAACTTTTGTCTATTCCATAACAAATTCTGGTTTAATTACTACAGCACTGCACTTTGTAATATCAGTGGAAGAACATGTTGTCTTATATTAATTATTTAGTGAGCTTGGTTGCAACACTTTCATTTGCCAACTTGGTACTTTTACTTCCCTGTGGAACAGAAGAATGTTTCAACTTACAGTTGTAACATTGCATTATAATTATAAAGTTGCTGGGACTGAGTAACAAATAAATTGCCAAACTAGTAGGCTTAAACTGTTAAGTAAAATCTCCTAGTCTGTACCAAAGGAAAATGTACAGAGAAGGGTATGGAGAGTTAATGGATAATGAGGCTGACCTGCCTGTACTGATTCTGCTATAGTTAGCTTATGTTGTAAATAAAGTGGCAATAGAAACAGGTTTTCCTTGTTTCTCTACTGTTTAAGAAATTGATGCAGGAGCTCCTGGGAATGTTATTTGAGGGGGGGGGGTGCTTGTTTGACATTTTTGCCAAGGGGTTGGGTGCTTATTCTTACTAGGAAATACAGTATGCAAAGTCATAAGTTCAATTGCCCTCACAAAATCCTGTTCACATTAATGTAGAGAAAATTATGTTGGAGTCACAAGTAGAGGGAGAAGAGCCAACTGCTTACAGAGGCAGCTCTTGGGCTCTGGACACTGTATGGCTACAGCACAAATGGCATAAATGAATTGCTTTGATTCCATCAGTATGATACTTGCTTAAATAGAAACGGTTTTGCTTTGCTCTTCTGATTACTTAATGCATGTATATTCTGACATGTGTGAAGAGATACCAGAGCTATAGCCCTGCTCATGCACTTCATGCTTTTTGATAACTGAGTCAAGTATCCATCCACCATTTAGAAAGTAATTAATATGCAACTGCAGATTTGAAACTTTCTACTCTTTGATTTTCCTTCTTTAGAGCTGTCCAGGCATTGCTGAACCTGCAGAACCTGGGTCAGAAGGTAGGAATCATCCCAAGATAGTAATTTTTTGCCTTCTCTGATCTATGCATGCTCCTAGACACATTCATTTGGCAAAAGTAACAATTTTACCTATCAATTTTTGTGTTAGATCATACAAGATGTGCAGCAATCTTGGTACTGGATTCTGGCGTAAGTATAATGGAAACAAGACCAGCCCATAATTACACTTTTTAAAAGCAGAAGTATGTTTTGCAAACCATACATTTTTCTTTGTTGTCATGTAAAGTTGTAGATTTAACAATAATTCACTGAAAAGGGGGTGAAGAAGAACATTACTGAGCTGTGAAGGTGTGAGGTATTGTCCAACACTTTCACCTACACTGAGCTGTATGAATTTATTGGCTGTTAAAAAAAAACTCCCATTAAGTTTGTAAAACCATTGGGTTTTTACTATTTTTATGTTCATTTTGTATTTAGTTCTTAGTAAACAAGCAGGAGGTCTGTATAGGAGAATCTTGACTGAGGTTGCCGGTACAGACCGAAGGCAGTGAGGTCTGTACCAGTGACCGAGGTCAAGATTCTCCCATACAGACCAACCTAACTCAGTTAATAAGATGTTTATTATTTGGCTGTGTCTTATATGCCAATTTTTTATATTCTTTGTACCTTTTTTTTTCTAGACCGGTCTAGATGCCAGTCTGGAAGGGAAAATCTACACCACTTTCAATAATTTATTGATTTCAGCCAATCAAATTGATGAATTCGGTAGTTCCCAGTCCTTGTGAGACACAGCCATATAATAAAGGGGTGTACAGGTTAAGTGTTGCATTAAGAAAGCACAGTAAGATTGGGCATATAATTTTAGTGAGACTGAGTGCACATAATTGACAGTGTCTTTTTAAAACAGAGCCATGGGGATTGCAATGGTGGCTTCATTCTTGTATATTATTGTTATGAGGTGAGACCAATATTAAATTAATGTTTCATCANTGTATATTCTGACATGTGTGAAGAGATACCAGAGCTATAGCCCTGCTCATGCACTTCATGCTTTTTGATAACTGAGTCAAGTATCCATCCACCATTTAGAAAGTAATTAATATGCAACTGCAGATTTGAAACTTTCTACTCTTTGATTTTCCTTCTTTAGAGCTGTCCAGGCATTGCTGAACCTGCAGAACCTGGGTCAGAAGGTAGGAATCATCCCAAGATAGTAATTTTTTGCCTTCTCTGATCTATGCATGCTCCTAGACACATTCATTTGGCAAAAGTAACAATTTTACCTATCAATTTTTGTGTTAGATCATACAAGATGTGCAGCAATCTTGGTACTGGATTCTGGCGTAAGTATAATGGAAACAAGACCAGCCCATAATTACACTTTTTAAAAGCAGAAGTATGTTTTGCAAACCATACATTTTTCTTTGTTGTCATGTAAAGTTGTATATTTAACAATAATTCACTGAAAAGGGGGTGAAGAAGAACATTACTGAGCTGTGAAGGTGTGAGGTATTGTCCAACACTTTCACCTACACTGAGCTGTATGAATTTATTGGCTGTTAAAAAAAAACTCCCATTAAGTTTGTAAAACCATTGGGTTTTTACTATTTTTATGTTCATTTTGTATTTAGTTCTTAGTAAACAAGCAGGAGGTCTGTATGGGAGAATCTTGACTGAGGTTGCCAGTACAGACCGAAGGCAGTGAGGTCTGTACCAGTGACCGAGGTCAAGATTCTCCCATACAGACCAACCTAACTCAGTTAATAAGATGTTTATTATATGGCTGTGTCTTCTATGCCAATTTTTTATATTCTTTGTACCTTTTTTTTTTCTAGACTGGTCTAGATGCCAGTCTGGAAGGGAAAATCTACACCACTTTCAATAATTTACTGATTTCAGCCAATCAAATTGATGAATTCGGTAGTTCCCAGTCCTTGTGAGACACAGCCATATAATAAAGGGGTGTACAGGTTAAGTTTTGCATTAAGAAAGCACAGTAAGATTGGGCATATAATTTTAGTGAGACTGAGTGCACATAATTGACAGTGTCTTTTTAAAACAGAGCCATGGGGATTGCAATGGTGGCTTCATTCTTGTATATTATTGTTATGAGGTGAGACCAATATTAAATTAATGTTTCATCAGTCTCAACTTAGTAATATTTTTATACTAATATTTACAAGTGCAGTAGAGCAAAACAAGAACACACTTTTATATGGAATGCCATTTGTTTAAAAAAATACTTCTTTTATATAAATAAACCTTTCCTCAACATATATAATACTTCTTTCATATATGTAATACATCCTTGTGAATATATAGTCTTTCCTTGCTTTTATAGCAAACTTTCCTTGGATAATAAAACTTGGTGTTGTACAAATCAAACTTGTCGGCAAATAAGACTTTGTGCAACAGATATAAAACTTGTAACGCAATCCCTTTGAACCCAGCTCCCTGCGGTCAATACATGACAGCTAACGCAATCTCTCAACCTTTGCAACATGGTGCACGAGGATCTTGCAAACCGACTTTCCGCTCTAGCAGATCCTCTACGTGAAAGAGAGATGCCACAACCTGATCCATCAAGGAATAAAGGAGAAAGTACTTCTGGACCGTTGGTGAGATTATTTCCGAGTTCAATAGGCTGAAGTACTGCCCAAATGAGTTCAGGGAATGAGATTCCGGTTTGAGTTCCTTTGACTTTGAGCTCAAATTGCCATGGCCCACGTGTCAAACGTTACAAGCCATACTCTAAAGGGAAAGTGAAGGGTAAAACTACATCTGGGTCCGTATTGAAGGATGTCATCCTTCTCCCGAGTCCCAAAATACCTGATGTTTTGCTTTGGAAGACTAGAGAGGAATTATTTATAAGAGAATTGATCTATCCCGCCTGTGAACTGATGAATGAAATGTCATCCGAAAGTATGGACAGACTCTCCTTCTTTCAGCAGTGTCTGAAAGGGAGGTATTTCAAGATTGTGAGGCCTGTAGGAAACAAAATAGTGGTTGCAGACCTTCCACAGGATTCAATAACTGAAAGAGTGATTAAACACTTTTCGGGTCAAGGTCCAGTATATACAAGGTGTGTTATACCAATAGAAACAGACTCTGATTGGGTGAGTGATAAAGAACAACAAGAGGCCTCTTCTGGTGATGAAAATGATAACAATGACATTGTTGTTGTGAATGATGATGATGATGCTAGTGACCTGCTGAAACCACCCTATTCATTCACTATATCAACCTCTTCAAGCTCTGCATCTGACCCCTCTGTAAGTGCTATGAACAATGGGTCATCATTTGAACTTCTGCATCCACTGGAAGATGGGGAGGTTAGTGGGTCTGAGGAGGCAATCCCTGTGAAGCTGACAGTGCAGAGGTGGTGTTTCAGAAACCAGACCTCACTCCTGCAGGAGTTCTTGAATGGCTAACTGGTCAAAAACACAAGCTTTTGGGCAATGAAGGTCTCTCTGTAATCGTTACCTTCAATCATGACTGTAAGAAAAACAATCCAAAACATAAAATCTGCTATCCTATGGTTGGGGCTTGTGCTAAGGAGTTCATTTTACCAATGGCCCACATGACCACTACTGAACAATTTAATGAAGTTTTTGTTACTGCAATAAACAAAGGACAATCATTCGGAAAAGCATAGAGTTCATCTCAGTTGAGTATCCTATAATGCGTCCTAACAAAAAATTAATGTCCATACCTTGCATGCAGGCCTCAAATTACCCACTGTTGTTGAAATGGGGTATACTGTATGGATATTTTCTTCACTTGCTGTACACATTTAGATTTGTAGACATAAAACAAAATGCACTTTGGATGATTCCCTTAATGGGAGTCATACAAAATGATAGGATCATCGTGTAAGAACAAGTAAAATTACTATTTGGGCTTCTTCTGGGGAAGTTGTGCACTTGCACAAGCAATTGAAGCCATTGGCATCTTAAATTCTATATTCAAGAACACTTAACCACATCCATTTTGGTATTTGCTCTGTTGGCAAGTGTTTTATACAATGATCCATGGTTTTCAGTATGGAAGCTCTCCTTCAGTGTTCCCAGTGCAACAAGCATAACTTATCTGATACAATTATTGAAACGTTTTTGTTGTATTTTGATGTTCTATTGACTTGATGGCTGATATTTTCAGTTTTGCTAGGTCATAATATGGGATTCTAATTTTTTTAAGCTGATCAATCTTCCTTCAAAGACCAGAATATGTGAATCCAAAATGTATTCAAAGTTCCATGTTATTGTTGATAGAAAAAATTTGTTTGGGAAAATTATTTTTTATTTTACCTTTTGCTTGAAATATATTTTTTATTTGTTTTAATTTCACCTTATCAAATGCATTTGTGAAACTCTCCAAGCATGGAAATTTGATACCCTTAAAATCCCATCAGCTAAGTAGTGTTTACATCTTGTTGCCAACCAATTCAGATAATGTGATGATTTATTTGCGAGATTCCCATTGTTCATTTTGTACCTGCATGTGTCATGTTTAAGAAATTGTACAATGGTATCCCCCCCAAATGAATCACATGATCTTAATTCCTTGGCAACAAGATGTAAATGCTGTTAGCCCATTAGCTCTATCCTGCTGCCAAAACATATGAAATTAAGTTCTTTCACCTTTTTAAGAAAAATAGCACTTGCACAGATTGATTTTCCAGGTTGTCTTTTTTGCAGGCCTAGATACTCATTATGCAATTTTATTGTGGATGTTGTTGCCATGGTTAATGTTAGAATCCAATCAAAGAAACCAGAGGGGTGAATAATTTTGGAATTATTGATAAATGTTTCACAAGAAACCAGAGGGTTGATTTATTTGAAATTACAGTTGAATGACAAACAAGAAACCAGAGGGTTTTGATTTATTTGAAATTACAGTTGAATGATTCTTGAGAAACCAGCAAGAGGGTTGATTTATTTAAAATTACAGTCAAATGATTAACAAGAAACCAGAGGGATGATTTATTTGAAATCACTTTTAAATGATTCACAAGAGGTAATTACCTTTTAGGGCCGTGTGTAATTTAAAATGATGAAGTACTTGCTTATTACACAATAAAACGTAGAAGAATGCTGACAAAATTGGTAGAGTGCAAATAGTAAAAACCATGAGACTATTAATTTTACTAAATAGCACACTTTCGTGAATAAATTGTCAACCTGTGAACAGCCAAAGCAATGGCTTGACTAAGAAATATAGACTATAGTGAATTACTTAATATAAATTGTACAAATTTGTGCAAATTTGTTTTTCTAATGTCTCACAGATTGACTGTTTGCACTCTAGTTGGAACAATTTACAACAATAGACAAGCTAGACGCTCTGTCAGGGGAAGTTACAGTGTAACAACTTTGCAAAAGCACTTTGCCTGAAACCAAAATGCATTCATTGGTGTTTCTTTCTTGAATTGTTATTAATGCTTATCCAGTTCAAACATTTGATAGTACATTGGTATTCTTGGGTTTAAATCATATTAAGACCAGGTGAGCTCTAGGTCTCAAATGACTGTCACTTGACTATGTCTTCATTGTGCTATAGCAATTGAGCTGTATCATGCAAAAAGGGCCAAGATGAATAAATATAAACAATTAGATATTTCAGAAGTTCTGCTTTAGGGTGTTTTGCAGGTTTACCCTTTTGATTTACCCCTTTTTCTCCACCAAAAATAAGGACCATTTGAAGAAGATGTTATCAAAATTTTGTCAGGAAGTAAAGCTACATATTATTTTTTTCCAGGCCCTTTTTGCATGACCTGGCCCAATTTTAGTTGCTAAAAGAAATTTATAGATTGTTAATAAAGCTTGTTGAAAAGATATTCTGATGTAGCAAGGTGGTAGTAATATATAAATTGCTTTAAACAGACAGAAAAATAACACCAATCCTTGATCAGTTTTTGTAGCTAAATGCAGAGATTGATCGGCAACACTGAAATCTTCAGTAAACAGGTTTGTCTGTAGTTTTTCAAAGGGCAGTTCCTCGAGAAATCTTTTAAATTTGTCAAAGAAAACATCCAATGTCCACCATTTTTAAATTGTCTTGACACATGTTGACCACGGGGAGCTGGGTTTGAAGGGATTGCATTACAAGTTTTATATTTGTAGCACAAAGTCTTACTTGCCCACAAGTTTGATTTGTACGACGCGAAGTTTTATTATCCATGGATAGTTTGCTGTAAAAGCAAGGAAAGACTATATATTCACAAGGAAGTATTACACCTATGAAAGAAGTATTCTATATGTTGAGAAAAGGTTTATTTATATAAAAGAAGTATTTTTGAATCAAAAGGCATTCCATACTTTTATTCAATTATTCAATGTCACATTTTTGAAATTTCCTTTTTCAGGTGGATTGCTGGGCTTGTGGTGTGGGTGACCATTTATGCAGTTTTGACTTCCCTTGGCTACTGTAAGTGTGAAATTTAATTTTGATACTGTCATAAACTAATAATACACGCAAGTAAAGTCAACCTTTAAGAAAAGCTTACCCCAGTCACCACTGAATTGGAGCCTATTTGCCTATTTCTTACTTCTATTTTTAAATTGCTATGTACTCATTCTGGGGTTTGGAAAAGGCTATTAGGTGAACTTCTAGGGGAGAAGTTACACTAACTAGTTCCTGTTTCAAAATGGAATTCTGTTCACATCCCATTTCTCAGGCATTTGTCTTGAGCAGCTGCTCACACTGTTTTAGCTTCTTTTCAATCTTCCATTCAAATGGATTTTGACTTCTGTTGGGGAAAAACTGCACCACTTCTACGATTTTAGGGAGTTTAAACAGTTTTTGCATTCTCCACCCAAACATTTCTGTTTTTAAAGTTGAGGGCTGAGGTTGCTGTAGTAGTGACCACAAGTGGAAATCAACTTGGTGAAAGCAGTGTAGTTTGTTTTTCAACCTTCAGCTGTTTATTACTGTTGGACAAAGTACAAAGAACTGTCATCCAACTCTGGTAACACCACAAGCACTGTTCTGAGTGTGTCCACTGGTCTTGATTCATATGCTAACAGTGAAAAAACTTGGTACTGGCTGAGTAAGTCAAAACTCCTGTGTTATATACTTGTGATACTCTTAATCCTCCCCTCTGTTACTGTGCTAGGTGCTAAATTATTATTATTATTTTTTTTTTTTTTTATTTTTGCATTTACATGTACAGGTCACTGGTGGCAAAATTCTGGTTTCCAACATTGGATTTTGAATTGCATTGTTTGCCAACCTGTTGTAGTCTCAGACTCTGCTGTCTTGCTCATGTGCACTTAGACCCTGGGGGGGGGGGGGGTACTCCCTTGTAAGGGCTTAATGGGGATGTGCAGCCAGCCAGGGTATGTTTTTTGAGATTTTTGTCTTTAACAGGGTATCGAATTTATAATTTTTTTGTCTTAATCAGGGTATCGCTTTATCAATTTTTGTCTTAAACAGGATATCTTTTCTTGGAAGATAAACAGCAAAATTTTTACAAGCTCTAATTTTAATTAATATTGAATTCCATTGATTTTGACATTGATACCAGGCACATTAAATGTCTTAAACAGGGTATCAAAAATTGGAATTCTGTCTTAAACAGAGTAGGAAAATCAGCGATATTTGCCTTAAACAGGGTCAGGGTATGAGGGGCCGCTCCACCTCCCCACCCAGGAATATATCGAGTACCCCCCGGGACTTATACCTGGGAAGGGGTGGGGGGACTAGTAATAATAGTGATTAGGAGTGTGTGGCACCCCTCTCAAAACAGTTCCCTTACCTTTTGCTCTAACAAAGGGCTAAGAAATATCAGTTTTAGAAACTGTTTGTGATGGCCAATTTACATTATCAACTCAGTTGAACAAACTGAATTATCTCGTGATAATAAACTGATGAAGGGACACCCATTTTCTTGTCATACAGCTATTATTCTTGGTGTTATCCTTGGAATTCTGTTGTTGATTCTTCTTGCTTTATACAAGAGAATTTCAATTGCCATTCAGATCATCAAAGAGGGAAGCAGGTATGGCCATTACACCCTCTTTCTTTTTAGAAGACATTGTTTTGTTGTTAATGCATGTGAAATTCAAAAGTTATTTTTGAGCCATGATCACATTACATGTGTTTGGTAAGTAGATGTTGTTTTTCATTTCAAAATGTAATTTCCTTTGCTCCTGTAGGGCTGTGTCTGCCATGCCGTTCAGTCTGTTTTTCCCAATCATACCATGGCTGCTCCAGATCATACTGTTTGGATGGTTTGTTGGTGTGTTAGCGTATCCTTTTATTTTTGAGTTATTGTTAAATGTTAAATGTTTATCTTACAACTTTTACATAAACTATTAGTAGTTCACATCTGCAAGTCTGGATGAGTTTTGGGTTTGTGGGAAACTGAAGGGAAGTTTGGTTGGGGTGTGATTTTGTGACCCTTTTCAAGACAGCAAATTGCATGTGGAATGTAAAGTTCAGAGAGCCACTGCGATGCACTTTCCTCCTCTTTCACAGTCACGTTCATGAACACAGTCACAGTCGTTGGTCTCCATTTTGTTTCACTTTTCACTCTATTTCCACATAGAGCACTCATTACGATCATTTTCACTGTGTTCCCTCGATCTTTCATTGTAGCACAAGGTCAATTTTTTTTTTCACATCAACTGTCTTATTTGACCTCCTTAACAATGAAAGCTTCCTTGTCACTGCTGGTGGTGCGGAGTACCAGGTTGTGTCCAACGACACTCAAAATGGACAAGTGTGTACGCAGGTAAGAATATTTTGATGCTTTTGGTTTTTTTTTCTGCTTGAATTTCCCAAAAATCCTCTGTTAATAAGCTAGGATCTAGACATTCTTTTGTATAATTCTCCTTCAATCATTTCTAGGAAATAAAAGATGCAATAGGATCTGCCAGCAACTACACTTGCAATTTTGTGGACTTTGCAAATAATGAGTGAGTAACAAAGTATTGACTTTCTTGAAATGAATTGCCATGTTTCTTCAATGATGAAAATTATTATATCTAGTGAGCACTTTTTCAGTTCTAGTTTGTGGCCCTGACGCACATACTTGAATGAGGCGGTGGGGGGGGCGAGGGGGGCTGTGTATGGTTTATAGAACGGTAGAAACAAGAATGTTATTCTTCACATAGATATAATTCTCCCGACATGACTTGTCAACTAATTTTGACACTGATTCTGGGCCAACGACAAACATGGATAAATGTAAAAGTGCACTTAAAGTCACCTTTAAGAACAACCTGTAATCCTACAGATCAAATCGGAGAGTTTGGTCCTGCAGCAGCCAATTCACTTAGGGCTGTTAGTTACTGACCAAGTTGTTCTTTAATCCGTCTGTTACAGCCATTTGTTCCGCATGCAAGTCTACCATCTGTTTGGCTGGTTCTGGGTCATGAATTTCATCATGGCCCTCGGCCAGTGTGCACTGGCAGGTGCATTTGCTTCCTATTACTGGGCTTGGGATAAGAAGACGGTGAGTGTTTTTTTTTTTTCTTTGTAAAATTACATGAATCTGCGGTTGATTCTTAGTGTTGATTGACATTTTTTTATATATCTGTATTTCTCGTTTTTTTCGCCACTTGAACGGATTACTTTGACTGCTAACTGTAACGCCATGGGGTGGTTCTTTGATTTATCTCCACTTAGTGGAGCACAATATAGTTTTTAAATTATTGTTTTAATACAGTTTTAAAAAGGTGATGGATCGAAGATTCTATGGATATAAAAATAATTGACCACAAAATATACTGCAAAACTTATCTTGTTGTTCGATCCGGCTGTGTCACAGGACGTACCAAAATTTGCTGTAACGGCATCTTTCTTCCGGACTTTAAGGTAGGGTTTGACACATGTAATTGTTTTAAAACTTTTCTTTCAGTTGAGTTTTCTGTCAACTTTTATTACCTTAAACGCTGACATTCCGTTTTAGAAATTTTTGCACTTTTATGGACTCTCTTGGATAGTATTCCGAGCTTTGGCTGCAGTTTTTCATTGTGAATGCGACCTTTTGTTTCTTTACTTTCTTCGAACTGTGAACAATCTGTAATCTGATTGGATGAGATAGTGATGCCAGTTTTCTGGATCAATTACACAGTGAATTAAAGCCAAACCAAATAATTCCGGAATACTTTTGACCCTGGATTGAAAATTGTCACAATGACAATCGTTGATAATTACCTCCACGTAATGACCCTTTACCATTACTTCTTTCTCTGTCTGTCTGTCTGTCTGTCTGTCTGTCTGTCTGTCTGTCCGTCTGTCTTTAGGTACCATACTGGATCACTGGCCTTCGGGTCTCTTATCATTGCCATCGTTCAGTTGATCCGAGCAGCATTGGAGTACCTCGATCACAAGCTCAGAGGTAACATATATGCGTTATATCCCCTTGCAAAGATCTATTTCAAGACTTTTTATGTACGAGTGTGTGGTGGCTGATTGCTTCTTTTGTCTTTCTCTAGGGCCTGGAGAGCAAAGTCAGATTACTAAGTACCTTATTAAGTAAGTTGGTAACTATTCAGCTATTTGAAAAGAATCAGAGACTCGCTATTCGTGAAAACTAAATGTGGTTGATTATATACGTTCCAATGAAATGCCGTCTAAAAATTATTTTGAGGTGACTTATTTTTAGTGACTTTCAGTTTTTTTTTTTTTTCTTTTAACGTTTAGGTGCCTTAAATGCTGCTTTTGGTGTTTGGAGAAGTTCCTGAAATTTCTCAACAAGAATGCTTACATTATGGTTTGTAAATAATTTGTTAGTCATTTAGTTACTGAACGTTTTCCTTCTCGTGAACATATTTTCCCCTCTCTTTAATGGTTGATCCTGCCTCCGCTTAGTTATGAATCCAAGGTCCTGAGCGGAGATGTTATCAGCAAAGCTTGCCCAGAGAAGTTAACAACTTTTGACTTGTGCCTCTTATCGTCTTGTTGAACAGGGGAAATGAATTTTAAAAAGAAAACAATAAGAACAAAAACAACAACACGATAACAACGTCTACATGACTTGGGACCGGTTAGTTAAACAAAACCTCGTCCTAAACTAGCATCAGTGAGGCCAAACGTTAAATTCAGAGGGGGATTTTTATTAACGCTGTCAGAAGGCTGAAAACTGAGGCCAGAAAAAGCATTAATTCATTCTAAACCTGAGAAGCTTCGAGGTCCTGTGGGTTCGTTTGAACGAGCGGCCCTTTACCTTTAACCCACTCCCTCTCCCCCCCCCCCCC